TGGACTCCGCTTCGTTTACGGTGAAAGCCAATACGGTGATCCACAGCACTAAGTTGATGTATTTCCTCAGCGACCAGCACGGATCAGCTCCAGGCATGACGAAGCAGATATCGTCCTCTTTTGGAAGACCAAACAAAGTAAATATAATTAATATTGTTGTTATTTAAAATGCAGTAAATCATTAAACATTTCTTTGTCCTACATGGACCTGTTGTTATAAAAGCTGCAGTGTTATTAGATTTTTTTACATTTTTGAGCCAAATCTCAAAAATGTCCTATGGTGTGACTGTCTCAGGCATGGTTCAGTAAATTACAACTTTTATAAATTAAAAAGAAAAACATACAAATGTTAATAAATACCTCCGGCATAATTGTACAAGTGTCTATTTTAGTAAATGGCAATCATTGTTTTCATCCATATATTTCTGAAAGCGTAGGAACTTGATATATTTTGTCTCTGAAAAGCATGTCCTATGGTGTGACACCATATCCTGATTTTAAATCGGCCAATTCCAGAGAAAACTTTTGGCTTTATTTGTATTACTTCAGTTAGTTGAAGGACCCCATTCATGATCATGTTACTGAAGGCCCCTGTGAAGCCCATGACATGTGCACATGCTCAATTTCTGTCTCCGAATTGTTCAAATATTTAACTTTTTTGGAACCACTACAAAAGTGTTACGTTTTGTTGTCCTTTGGTGTGACACCCTTAAATTATTTTTTTTATTATTAAAAATGTTAAACTACCTAATCATGGAAAATTGTCAAAGGAAAAATTTAAATCGCATCATATGACCCCTTTAAAATGTATTCCAAGTATGACTTAAATACAGAAAAAGAAATAAAAAATGCAATAAAGAAATGTGTATATTTCTATGTATTTATAATATATATATATATATATATATATATGGGTTGTTGACGTGACATGGCATTTTCACTGTCCCTCAAGATAAAAATTAATATAATTAATATTGTTGTTATTTAAAATGCAGTAAATCATTAAACATTTCTTTGTCCTACATGGACCTGTTGTTATAAAAGCTGCAGTGTTATTAGATTTTTTTAAATTTTTGAGCCAAATCTCAAAATTGTCCAATGGTGTGACTGTCTCAAGCATGGTTCAGTAAATTACAACTTTTATAAATTAAAAAGAAAAACATACAAATGTTAATAAATACCTCCGGCATAATTGTACAAGTGTCTATTTTAGTAAATGTCAATCATTTTTTTCATCCATATATTTCCGAAAGCATAGGAACTTGATATATTTTGTCTCTGAAAACCATGTCCTATGGTGTGACACCATATCCTGATTTTAAATCGGCCAATTCCAGAGAAAACTTTTGGCTTTATTTGTATTACTTCAGTTAGTTGAAGGACCCCATTCATGATCATGTTACTGAAGGCCCCTGTGAAGCCCATGACATGTGCACATGCTCAATTTCTGTCTCCGAATTGTTCAAATATTTAACTTTTTTGGAACCACTACAAAAGTGTTACGTTTTGTTGTCCTTTGGTGTGACACCCTTAAATTATTTTTTTTATTATTAAAAATGTTAAACTACCTAATCATGGAAAATTGTCCAACAAGTCATGGGGAAAAAATTATGTTAATTATAATTTCATATTAAATAAATAACACTGTATGAAAATAAGCGTCTAACAATGAAGATAAATCTCTCTCTTGCTATTTATATATTATTAGGGGTGTTTTTTTTTTTCTTCATTTTTGCTATGTCACACCATAGGACAAATGTATGGTACAGTTCAGAGAAAATGTAAAAAAAAAAATTAAAAAAAAAACAGAAAGAATTGATGAAGTTAGTGACCTTTTATATTTTCTCAAAGATCAGACTTCACACTACATAAATATATGCATTTCTTCTTCAAAAATTGTCTTTTATAAAATAAGCATTTTTACTGCCTATTTGTCAACTACCAATATATATATATATATATATATTTCTGCATATGTATATATAATTATTATATATCTTTAATCAGCTGTATTATTCAATCACTTAAACTGGCAGGTGGCAGGAGCTTTAATTCTGAAAATAAAATATCTCTGAAGTTTGTGTCGTCGTATGAAGCCTACACACACACACACACACACACACACACACACACACACAACGCACATTATATGCTCACTTGTAATGAACATAAAGGTTCTGGGAAGAGAAATGGTTCCAAAAACGCTGAAATGTTAGTATTTATATATGTAGAAATTAATATTAAAGCCCTCCATGTTTACACAAGATGGCGATAAATAGTTATTTTTGTGTGTTTGTGTAAGAAAAGAAACAGTGGAGTGGTATATTGACCAAATACAGAAACAAGACACTGTTATCATTTCAAATAATTATTTTAAATTTCATAATTATCATAAAACAATAATCTTCAATTTAATAAAAAATAATAAAAAATGTCCAAATGGCATCAAATATAGATTATAAAATGATGGAAAGCTAGAGCAAATATATTTAAATTCAATCACATGGGTTACACTCTAAAGCAAACAATTTATAAAGACTAAAATATTTTTCACACACAAGCACAGTAAAGATTTTTTTTAATTAATTTTTTATGGAAATGTATAAGTGTATATTTATAGAGAAAAGGAGGAAGTAAGAGCTCCTCTTCTCTTGCAGTTTTTCTTCTAATTGTTTAGAGTGGGCAAAACGATCTCATCTAGTGTTAATTCAGGTTATCCAGGACATTTTTTCCAGTCACCTCATTGGAAAAAATGCCCCAATTTACCTGAATGCACTCAATGCACTTCTGATTAGATCCGGCACATATATAAATATGCACTTTCTTATGCACTACTCTTCAAGTGCACATTTATGTGCTGAGCTTCACTCTTAGGATGAGTAATATTCTTCATCATCATCAGAAACTGCAGCAGTTCTCTCAGTCGGCCCAGTCTCACGGTCTTCAAACGCCTGGCATACGACTGAGTGCAAGTCGATCATCGCAGGCTTCACTAAATGTATTTCAGTGGTGTGGCTCTGGATCATGTAGTTTTTGGGCTCATCTGGTTCTTCCAGAAGCAAACATCTTATAGGCCACTTCTTCGGTATATCCAAATACAAGACCCGATATTTATGTGGAGGTACTACTTTTGGGGGTAACATGTCCCACCACTCCCACTTCTTTTTGAATAAGACTTTAAAATTCTTCCATTTAAATAGGCTCTTTTCCCCACGCAATTTGAATTGGGTCTTAGATTTGTCCCTAATCTCTTCCCTCCAGTCAGGTTGATAGCCTGGCATTATGATGAACTCTCTTCGAAGGAAGTTCTCGTGTCTTTTAAACCTCCCATACCACTCTTCAAACTCCTCACGCTTTTCTTTTAACAGTTTTTCCCACATTTTGTGTTTTGTCGTGTTCACTCTATCAGAAGAAATTACGGTAGAGGAACTCCAGAACGCGCCACAAGGGACTCGAGATTTGCACAGCTTTTATATGCCATGGGGAAAGTTCTAAAAATGACATTGTCTCATTGTGACGTCACAGGGACGCGCCGAAGTAACCTGGCCGCTGTCTAAATCCATGCGAGCATGCGCAACATGTTTGGCGCTCTTAGCACGTTTCTGATGAGTTGAGCCGTATTACTACACTACGACAATAGCAAGAAATAAAAATTGTAAACACGAATGATCTAAGATTGTGTCGTGAATAGTGGGAAGAGAAAAACACAATCGTAAATCTTTAATGAGAACGCGCTGAGTCGTCATCATCGCAATGGCCAATCAAATCAAACAAGGCGCGTTTTACTGTCATTACCAGTCAAAGAGAGCGACTGTGAGGTAGTGATGGAAATTTTGATTCTTTCAAGAGATTTCACAAAAAGGATTCGTTCAGATTCGTTCACTGATTCGTTCAGTGCCCATTTCTTCATATTACATAAATACGCCAACAGGTGGCGAAAAGTGTCTTATGTGTTGTGTCTTAAAGGGGTCATGTGATGCGATTTCAATTTGTCCTTTCTCTTTGGAGTGTTACAAGCTCTTGGTGCATAAAGAAGATCTGTAAAGTTGCAAAGACTAAAGTCTCAAATCCAAAGAGATATTCTTTATAAAAGTAAAGAGTCAGCCACACCTACCTAAAATGGCTCGTTCTAACACGCCCCCACATGTCTAGGTCGCTATGTGGGAAGATTTGCATAACGCCGCCCAAATGTTCACGCAAAGAAAGAAGGTGTAACTTTTATTCTCGCTGTAGTATTGTTGCTGCCGCCACCATGTCATGAAGGCGCTGTGTGTTTTGTTGTGAAAGCGAAACTACTTTGTTTGGTCTTCCAAAAGAGGACGATATCCGCTTCGTCATGCCTGGAGCTGATCCGTGCTGGTCGCTGAGGAAATACATCAACTTTGCTGTGGATCGCCGGACCAGCTTTCACCGTGGACGAAGCGGAGTCCAGCCCGGGGTCGTCACATGTCTTTCCGGACACCCCTTCGTCGAAATCGCCGGCCACGCCGTTCTCAAGCCCACCCGCCTCTGCTCACTCTAACCCTCCCGCCGTTCTAGGCCTCTGCTCACTGTAGCCCGCCGCCGCTCACTCTAGCCGCCGTGTGTGACGCTGTGTTTCGTTGTGAAAGCAAAACTACTTTGTTTGGCTTTCCAAAAATGGATACGACTAGAAATCAGTGGTTAAGTGCTCTCTACAAAGCATGTTGCTTAGGGGGGGGCAAATGATGCACCTATTCATGATTTAATTTGCAACAAAGTGAAACTGTTTCACCTGAACAAAGAAGAGTTGGGGAACAGGTTGTTTTCGATTTCGCAAAACAACTGATACACCCAACTCATATGATGTAGCATAAAAAGAAGCCTTCATAATGTGTTTAAAATGTGTGGTTATTAAAATATAAATGTATGTAAAACAAAGTTTCTGAATATTTTAAAATGAATATCCAGCAACGTCAGCGCGTTACTTTTCAAAAGCCACGCCTTCGCCAGAAGAAACCGAGCTAGCAACGTCAGCACCTAATTAATATTCATGAGGTAAGCCCTGAGTCGGTTTGTGAGCAGGTGAATGCTTGATTCTCATCGCCACCACCAAGCAACAAAAATGCCTTGACAAGGCATCACATAAGGGAGAAAGTATCTGTTTATACTGGCAGAAAAGCCAGTAAACAAACGTTCATTGGAAATGGAAGAAAATCAACTTCTTCATCGAAACGCGTCTGTTTCAAAGTAACCGACTCACCTGAAACTACAGGTAAATACATAATGACTGTTTTCATATAACATACCTGCGCATTTTTACTGTAAATATACAGTTATTTGCACCGCATTTGCTTGATCTGAACTTTTCTTCATTTTGTAACCCGTCTTCCTGTTTTAGTCGCATAGGTTCTCATAAGAAACAGAACAAACTGCCCTAAATAGTATTGAGAATTACTAATATCACATATAATTTAGGATGCATAGTATGCACATTGGGACATCTTCACATGTTTGTAAACTAAGTAGTACTTGCTTACTACACAGTGGCTACGGCACAGCATACACTGTGCACGGCTAACTTTTTTATATACCGTATGTGACCCTGGAGCACAAAGCAGTCATAAGTAGCACAGGTATATTTGTAGCAATAGCCAACAATACATTGTATGGGTCAAAATTATCGATTTTTCTTTAATGCCAAAAATCATTAGGATATTAAGTAAAGAGCATGTTCCATAAAGATATTTTGTCATTTTCCTACCATAAATAGAAAACTTAATTTTTGATTAGTGATATGCATTGCTAATAACTTCATTTGGACCATTTTAAAGGCGATTTTCTTAGTATTTAGATTTTTTTTTCTTTTGCACCCTCAGATTCCAGATTTTCAAATAGATGTATTTCAGCCAAATATTGTCCATCAATGGAAATCCTATTTATTTCGTTTGATGTATAAATCTCAATTTAAAAAAATTGACCCTATGACTGGTTTTGTGGTCCATGGTCACACACACACACACACACACACATATGTGAAACACTAACCAGTATGCACATTTCATATAGTAGTATGCTACATATTGTCACATGACTCAATAAAGAGTTATTTTGCCAGCAGTAGTAGGTCATCTGGGTATTCCAAACATACATAACATTTGTATACTGTGGATAGTATACTTGTACTGTAGTAATAGTAAGAATATAATTTAGTATGCTATACTTGACATGCAAAACAGTGTTAAGATAGGAGTTTTTAAATGGGATAATTTTGCTGTTAAGTTTCTAATATTATGTTTTCTGATTGGTTCAAATGTTCTAAAATTGTTAGATCTCTGTAAAGATCTGTATTTTAAAAGTCTTTTAAAAACAACCTGAAATCAAAATTGACCCTTATGTACATATGTTCCTGATCATACTGTATGCCGTTTTTAACACATGCTCAACATTTATATATAATCTTTAACTCAAACTTTAGAAATATCAAGCACCCCAGCAAAGATGGCTGACGACCGTGTAGCCATCTTGACCGATGATGAAGAGGAGCTGAAGAGGAGACACCTCGAGCATTTCGACCACCTGTCGCTTGAGATTCAATCAGATCAACCTTCGCAATCATCTGTGGACAATGTACCTTACGATACAGCACCAACTCCATCCCCTCAACATGACATGAGCTGCTGTGAACGATTGTTCCTACGGGTCAACCCCTACCTTCTTGTGTCAAAAGTGTTTTATTTGTTCTTCTATGCTGCATATGGTTCCCTCCATCCCCTTCTTGCTTTGTACTACAAGCAGCTGGGGATGAATCCCACCCAAAGTGGTCTCCTAGTGGGAATCCGTTATTTCATTGAGTTCTGTAGCGCCCCTTTTTGGGGCATTGTCGCAGATCGTTTCAGGAAAGGTAAAGCAGTCTTATTGTTCTCAATGTTATGCTGGCTCCTCTTCAATTCTGGGATTGGATTTGTGCAACCAGCAGACATGACGTGTAAAGAAGAGAACCTTCAGACGACCACAGCCATGGTACTGACTGTCCACACTATCACATCTAATGAGACATTCTACCTCAATGCCAGTTCCATCCCGACAACAAATCAGATGAGACACCGCAGGGATCTGATTGGACACTACCCTTGGCGAACCATCCTTTCCTACATTCAGTCTTCAGGCTACAGTTCTGAACACCGATTCAAACGGGATTCCAACTTAAGTTTCACTGTTGCACCTGATGAATTTGCTAACACGACACAATATGACCAAAACACCACAAGGCCCGAGCTAAGCACATCCATCTCAGCATCCACCCCCAATGCCACGTCCGGCAGCACTACTCAAAGTACTATGACCAAACCAACCCAAACACCTGAATATAACATGGACCAGGTTCACGCCATTTTCCTGCTGATTCTGCTCGTCATCATCATTGGCGAGTTTTTCAGTGCTCCAGCCATTACTATCGTGGATACGGTACGTAACACTTTTTTCCAGAAAAATAACCTCAATATCAAGGCAGATCAGTTAGTAGAGTCCGTCTTATAGGCCATGAGTCCTAAAACTGCAATTTTTGGTTCCTAGAATGAAATATTTGAATAAGTAGAACTTCGTAAGGATATTAGACAATATTTCCATTGTATTTAAATGTTAGACACAAGACCAAGCTACAATCCCATTTCCACCATCAAGATGCTGGTGTTGGTGCTTGAGCCATTTCCCAATCTGGAACCACTCTGTGTTTCCATCACAGAAAAAATGTCCCAGTGCTGGACCCTAAAACCGTCCTAATATCAGTGGACGTGGGATTATTTATGGGCAGGTTATGTAGTATAATATTTAGATAAATTGGTTTCCTTGTTGGCTTAAGTCCAAAGTATACTTTGTTTTTGTATGCGTAAGTTAGCGCGTACCCTTTCAAAGTATACTCCATTTGATGTTGCGGTCGACACGTGCACTCTAGAAGACTTCATCCATGTCCAGTGTCTGCTCTATTTTTTCCCGTAAGTTATGACCGATAACAATTTTTGAACTCTTTTAAACCAAAGCTCAGCTATTGTCAATGTGAGCCTCTGTTGTTGTCTCCGCAATTTTATTTTCTCAATCCTAGGAAAAAGCATCTACAATCATTAAAATCTTTAAATGTGATCTGTTGTGAACACATTATGTTTTAAACATCAAGGCGGTGGTTCATTTCAGGAGAGGAAATCAAGTCAGTTTGACCGCCCTTTCCTGTGGCAAAACAATCAAAAGGAAAACAAGCATGTAGATGCGCTACAGAGAAAATACCATCCACTCATAGGAATTAAGACTTGGAGCAAGTCTGTTTACATTCAATACAGAAGTTTTCATCTGTTCAATGAAACGTCCATACTGTTACAGACTTGTTAGCTCTATATATATACTTTGAAGTCCAAGCTAAGACACATAATGTTTTCAGGTCATGAGACAGATTTGTGTTTGTGCCCATTATTGTGAATGAATGAATGGCTCTTAAAGGAATATTTCACCCAAAATGAGAATTTGTTCACCAAAAAAAAAAAAAAACTTTTAAAACTTCAAATTAATCTTCTATCTATAATATTGCTTTCTCCATTGAAAAAGTTGTCTCTTCTGAATCAGGAGAGACATATGGGCAAATCAAGCACCATTTACAAGCGAAAGCAGTTCTAAACAAATATGGGTAACACTTTCTATGAAGCCCATATTTATAATACATTATAATGGTATTCTTAAGGCATTATAATGAATGCATTATAAAAAACCTTATAATATGTTATATCATCTTATAAATATTCATAAGAACAGTTTTAATGTATTATAATATTTACTTATTTGTGGTTATAGCTTTTAAGAGTATGATGATTTATAACACACAGTGAACATGTTGCGTCCACTTAAGTTACAATGGATTATATTTCTCATAGTTATAATGTATTATAAGTCTTATATCTTGCCATGTTTCTTATGCTACTTTACTTAAAGCAATCAAAGACCACTTATAAGTATAGTAATAATAATATTTTTTTTCTCAAACAGCCATAAGATCAGATATCTATGGAAGCCCGTGTTCGCCACTGAATAAAAAATAAAAAAGGTAATTGTGACTTTTTATCTCACAATTCTGACTTTTTTTCTTATAATTGCGTGATACAAATTCGCAATTCAGATTTTTTTTCTCATAATTGTGTGATATAAACTCGCAATTGCGAGTTAAAAAGTCATAATTGTGAGATATAAACTCGCAGTTCTGAGAAATAAAGTCAGAATTGTGTGATATAAACTCGCAATGGCGAGACATTAAGTCGTAGAAATAACGTCAGAACTGCGAGATATAAGCTCACAATTATATCACAGTTATACCTGCGAGATATAAGCTCACTCGCATTTGCGTGTTATAAAGTCAGAATTGTGAGAAAAAAAGTCAGAATTGCGAGTTTTATCTCGCAATTGTGACTTAAAGGGGTCATATGATGCGATCTAAATTTTTCCTTTCTCTTTGGAGTGTTACAAGCTCTTGGTGCATAAAGAAGATCTGTAAAGTGTCAACCACGCCTACCTAAAACGGCTCATTCTAACACGCCCCCACATGTCTACATCACGATGTGGGAAGATTTGCATAACGCTGCCCACATGTTCACGCAAAGAATGAAGGCGTAACTTTGATTCTTGCTGTAGTATTGTTGCTGCCGCCGCCGCCATGTTGTGGAAACGCTGTGTGTTTCGTTATGAAAGCGAAACTACTTTATTTGGCCTTCCAAAAGAGGACATAACTAGAAATCAGTGGATAAGTTGTATTTACAATACTATTCCGGGACAGTTCAACCCAAATATTCAGATGTGTGCAGCGCATTTTATGGAGGACGAGGACTGTTTCCTGGGAGAGTAGCCTACAATGCCGGTGTCTGTTTCTATAAAGTGGGGCAATTCCAACTTTGCAAGGACAGTCTAGCGCTTCTGACTCACAGCCTGTAAGTACGTTTTCATATTTAAAGAATTTGCCACTGACGATTAAAACGTGAGTTCTGAGCAGTGTAGCGATTGTTGTTTGTCGTTTCTCCGATCACAAATGCAGACATGTTTTTATGTTTACGCAGCGTGATACGCAACGCAAAGCATTATACGCAACGCATAAAGACAGTATAAATCATTATAATCAGTAATTATGTCCCCACTGGATGTAACAAATTCCTCGTTTATAATGGGTTTTACTGGTTTTGTCTCATCGCGCCAGAACACGGCATCACAGTATGGTGAGGGGCGTAACATTTCCATCACACTCTTGAGGGATTCGGCCAATCACAACGCACTGGATAACTGGCCAATCAGAGCACACCTCACTTTTCAGACCGATGAGCTTTGTAAAAATCGACGCGTTTCAGAAAGGCGGGGCATAGAGGAGAAACAGTAATGTACATTATGTGGAAATAATGTTTTTTTTAACCTTAAACCGCATAAACTCATTGCATTACACCAAATACACAAAATGTTTTTTTCTAGCAACGTCATATGACCCTTTTAATATCTCGCAATTCTGACTTTATAACTCACAATTGCGAGTTTATATCTCACAATTATGTGAAAAAAGTCAGAATTGTGAGATAAAAAGTTGCAATAACCTTTTTTGTATTTTTTTTATTCAGTGGCGGAAATGGCCTTCCATAGATATCAGATCAATGTGTAATATGACACATTTGCTTTGAACTATTTTTACTGTAATATCAGTTTAATTATTTTGATGGTACCCTTTAGACAGCTGTTGATAAGTAAATCTGCAACTACATGTCAACTAGCAGTCATTGTAGTATTAGTAGTATGTCTGCTAAATATATGCTAACACTTTATTTTGATGGTTCCCCAACAGACAAATTGACTATAAATATCTTTGCAAGTACATCAATACATAGACAATAGACCAAGGGGACCATCAAAATAAAATGTAACCTAACATATAAACATAGCATTTTTTTCAGTTGAAATTATTAACTAGCTCACATCAAAATTTATATTAGCCTCACAGGGATCACTCAAATAACACTCCACACCTAACCACTTACAAGATGTAGTAAGATACTGTGCAGATCTTAAATAAACAATGTCAAGATTTATAGTCCATTATAAATGTAAAAGTAGATTTAATATGGTGTTCATTGTGTGTTATAAATAATCATAATCTTGAAAGTTATAACCACAAATGTGTAAGCATTATAATGTATTATAATTGTTGCAGTCAAAAAAAAGATCAACCTGGACTCTTTACCTATAGGTCTTCAGCATCTCTCCTCTGCTGATTTCTCTTCAGTTACTGAGTCGGTTGACTTTTACAATAGATCTTTGAGCAGTCTCTTAGATCTCCATGCTCCTGTAAGAACTAGAACCGTCACCTTCTCCCGTTTAACCCCATGGGTTACCTGTGAACTGCGAAAGATGAAGGCAGCTGGACGTGTCCTTGAAGGCAGCTGGACGTGTCTTAAGGTCACAGGACTCACTGTTCACAGGCAGGCCTACAGAGGGCATCAGAAGGCCTATGCAAAGTCCTTGAGAGATGCTAGGTCATGATTCTATTCTGGTATCATTAACAATAGCCCTGAAAACTCGAAGCAGCTTTTCTCTACTATAAATCACATCCTTAAACCACAAGCTCACTCTCATTTAGAAGTTACAAAGAAGAGATGCAACAGCTTTATCACTTTTCTCAGGAAAAAAGTAGACACCATTCGCTCCCTTCTGTCCAGTTCCTCTGCTCTGCCTGTCTTGACTACCGATTTACAGCCTGGGACTCCCCATCCTCTCTGCTGTTTCTCTGACATCTCACATTGAGAGGTTGAGGACATAATCAGACAGATGAAACCATCCACTTGCGCCCTGGGCCCTTTTCCTACAGCCTTGGTGAAATCTAACCTTTGTGCCATAAGTTTATCAACCACTCCCTCCAGGCTGGTCATGTTCCACCTGAACTGAAAACTGCTGTCATCAGACCAAACCTCAAAAAAACAACTTTAGATCCAGAAGTCCTTGCCAACTACAGGCCCATTTCTAACTTTCCATTTCTTACTAAAGTGTTGGAAAAATTAGTGGCTGCACAACTTCAGACCCATTTAAAACAAAACTACCTGTTTGAGAAATTACAGTCTGGTTTCCACTCTGGCCACAGCACCGAAACAGCTCTGGTGAGGGTCACAAATGACCTGCTGATGGCAGCAGATGCTGGTTCTCCATCTCTTCTCATCCTTCTGGATTTGACTGCAGTATTTGGCACTGTAGATCACAACATACTTCTGTATTGTTTACGTCACACCATCAGTCTCTCTGGCTCTGTCTATAACTGGTTTTCATCCTACCTTACTGGGAGAATGGAGTATGTTGCTTTGGGAGAGACTAAATCCTTGACACACAATGTCACCTGTGGTGTTCCTCAAGGCTCAGTGCTCGGCCCCACTCTGTTTATACTGTATATCAGGGGTGGTGAACGTCGGTCCTGGAGAGCCGCAGCCCTGCAGACCACGTCACAAATTGTGACGTCAACACGATGTAGATTTTAAACCCTGAAGATTAAAATAGCGCAAAAAAGCTTAAAATTAACTTGTTTTCTCAAACAGTTAAAATTATCGGATGCTAACATTGTCTTCTATAATATGCAAAACAAACACCTCTGCTAAAATCTCATAAAAAGTAGTCTGGGGTTTCATGACCCTTTAAACGTGGCCTCAAAACCTGCTTTTTAGCAAAGCCTTTGAATGATTCTTTTTTTCTTGTTTTTAATCTGTACTTTGGGATTCTGTGTGAATATAAAGTGTGTTATAAATAAAAATGTATTATTATTATTGTTGCTATGATTATTTTATTTATAAGATGATATAACATAAGGCTTTTTATAATGCATTATGCATTCATTATAATGCCTTAAGTATACTCTTATAATGTATTATAAATATGGGCTTCATAGAAAGTGTTACCCAAATATGTTTGTGGCTTTTGATGTGAGAGGATAACAGGGGATGGATTATGTACTTTTTTTTTTTGGCCTGAAACAACATTAAATTTAAAACACCTTAATGGTGGATTTGCTTCTAACAAAGATGCAGCTTTTCACTTCAAGACATTAATTGAACTGCTGTGGGCGTTTGGATTTCTTGTGGATTATTGTGATGTTTTTATCAGCTGTTTGAACTCTCAGTCTGACGGCACCCATTCACTGCAGAGGATCTATTGGTGAGCAAGTGATGTAATGCTAAATTTCTCCAAATCTGTTCCAATTAAACAAACTCATCTACATCTTGAATGGCCTGAGGGTGTGCAAATTTTATTTTTGCATGAACTATTCATTTAAGCCTTATATTATGCTGTAAGATAAACAATGTGTATCTGTGCAGGCATAACACATGCGTCCGTATGGGCGGCGTGTATCTCATATTTGAGTGCGGCTGTACCTCCACCTCTTCGGACATCCGCTCAAGGCATCCTGCAGGGTCTCCACCTCGGGCTGGGCAGGGGCTGTGGGGCGATGGTCGGCGGGGTATTTGTCAACTACTTTGGTATGAACAATGCCAGTTGTTTTTGTAACCACATGACATTATGAATGCTAGTATGTGAATAAACAAGAGGTCGTCTTGTTTTTCAGGTGTTGCCGAAACATTCAGGGGAATAGGAATGACGTCGCTTGTTATTTTGCTGATCTTTTCATTAATTATGTGCATCACTGGCCAGAATGAGAAAAAAGGTAAGCAACAATATCTCGTATATTGCTTATTCTTTTAAAATAAGAGCTGAAATGATTTTGTTTTTGTAGTTTTTTTTTGTTGTTGTTTTAGTTTTTTAGGGTTTGTGGTGCCCTGGTTCATGTTGCTTCTTTGCTTCTTCAGTTCTGTTTGCTTTTATTTTATGTTGGCTTTTCGTTTAATTCAGTTTATTTTTTTCATTTGTTTTGTTGTCTGTTTTTGCCCTTTTTGTTTAGTTTAGTTCAGTTTTTTCATGTAGTTTTGTCTTTTTGTATTTTGTTTATTGAATTTAAGTAAATAAGTAGCTATATAATAGTGTAATCTAACAAAATATAATTTAATTTAAATACATTTTCAAAAAATAATAGCAAAAACTGCCGTAAAAAAGTATGCCCTTTCCAAATAGTGAGACAAAATTTGACAGTGTGAGCAAACCAACTAAAATGCCATCTCCAGTAAGTCCAGCAGTTTTGTGCAGCAGCTCATTTGGATGGTTTGTTCAAATGATTTTCTGATTTGTTCTCATTTTGTTGTGAAATGTTAGTTTCGTTTCGCAGCTTCAATAAACTGTTAGCCTACTAATGGATAGGGTATTGAAATTACGACAAGCTTAACCGTACATTTTCAAGATTTTTCATTCAGAAATTTGCTTCAATTTAATTTCTTTTTTTACCCCACAGAGGACAAGATGCTAGCAGAGAACATTCCTATCCCATCCAGTCCTGTTCCCATAGCAACCATTGACCTGGTTCAGAACACAACAGACGCGGCCGCACCTGCTCGACCCGAACCCAAACTTCCGACTCGGAAAACACGGCACCAGGAGGATCAGGAGGATCTGAACAAGCCTGCTTGGGTTCCCTCTGGTTCGCCGTGGGTTACAGTCGTTCTACTGTTTTACCAAATCAGAGACATGGTCGTCATTGCAAAGACCCCTGTTGAGGTCCAGCCCCTTCAGGTAGTGCAAAGGATCATGGGAAAATAAGAGGAGAATGGTGGTGAATAATATGAATATTGATCCAAATGTTGTTGAGTGTTTTCTCTCTCTTTTTCATGCATTCTGTGGCAGAAAGGTGAGAATGTGTAGATTTAGTTGAAAATTATATAACTGTATATCTTGTGTTATTTTTTTTCTTCAGATAATCAAACTCATAGAACAATTTCCCCCCTCATGCACTTAGATTTTTACAAATTAGTTAAGTTAGAGCACATATGCACTACTATTCAGTTTGGGGTTAGTAAGATTAAAAAAAATGTTTTTAAAGTCTCTTCTGTTCAACAAGGCTGCATTTATTAAATTAAAAATACAGTAAAGAAAAAGTAATATTGTGACATAATTTTACCATTTAAAATTACCGTTTTCTTTTTTAGCAGCATCATTACTCCAATCTTCAGTGTCACATGATCCATCAGAAATCATTCTAATATACTGAAAGACCCCTGTTGAGGTCCAGCCCCTTCAGGTAGTGCAAAGGATCATGGGAAAATAAGAGGAGAATGGTGGTGAATAATATGAATATTGATCCAAATGTTGTTGAGTGTTTTCTCTCTCTTTTTCATGCATTCTGTGGCAGAAAGGTGAGAATGTGTAGATTTAGTTGAAAATTATATAACTGTATATCTTGTGTTATTTTTTTTCTTCAGATAATCAAACTCATAGAACAATTTCCCCCCTCATGCACTTAGATTTTTACAAATTAGTTAAGTTAGAGCACATATGCACTACTATTCAGTTTGGGGTTAGTAAGATTAAAAAAAATGTTTTTAAAGTCTCTTCTGTTCAACAAGGCTGCATTTATTAAATTAAAAATACAGTAAAGAAAAAGTAATATTGTGACATAATTTTACCATTTAAAATTACCGTTTTCTTTTTTAGCAGCATCATTACTCCAATCTTCAGTGTCACATGATCCATCAGAAATCATTCTAATATACTGATTTGCTGCTGAAAACAGTTGTGCTGCTTCATATTTTTCTCGAATCGGTGATCTTTTTTTTTTTTTTTTTCAAGAGTCTTTGATGAATAGAAAGTTCAGAAGAACAGCATTTATTTAATGTTAAAAATGCCTTTACTGTCATTTTGAGTCCTTGCAGAATAATGTGTATTTCTTTTTTATTAAAAAAGCAGCTTGGTAAGCCCAAACTGAACAGCAATAAAACAGTATAAAATACAAAATAGGGTGAAAAAATAAATTTTGTTCATTTCTTTTTTCACTCAGTAGGGGAAAATATGATGTGACAAAATGACACAATATTATAAAATATTTTAAGTACCAAAACTCTTTCAAACCAAATAACAGTGAAAAAAACAGTAAAAACAATATTTTTATTGTCTCTGGGGTAAATAATGCCTAACACATGCAAGTAAACCACATGAAAGAAAACCTCTGGATTTTTTTTTTTTTTTTACACAAACATAATTACCTAAATTAGTCAGCAATTAAATCAGGAACTGTAGTTTCTCAATACAGTAAACACATATATTTTGTACTCCATGTGCCAGACTCTAAGATGCATTTTTTTTATAAAATATTATGCAAGTTTTTTTTTTGCACTAGAAATTATTTTTGGTGAAACATTTCTCTATTTCTCTAACTAGGACACAGATGAGATTCCCCCAGAATCTCGAGAAGAAGACCAATCACCTCCCATCGTTGGCAATGACGTGCGACAGGAAAGCGCTCTCAGTGGGCTCCTGTCCCAGGAGGACCCCGGGCCCCCAGGGGCCGCCTCACAGCTGGAATTCCCAACACGGGACACACAGCTAGTATTACATGCAAACAGCTGATGGCACAAACTGACTCTAACCCGTGGGTATTTTCTCTTCACATAGTGATTTTGTTTTCGTTGTGAAGTTTTTACGAACTTTGTGGGAAAATACAAGGAAGAAGAAAGTACTTTTCTGTATAAATGGCCTTTGTATGATTTTTTACTTATTTCCAGGTGTTTTGCACATCCACTAAATAAAGCCTGGCAGGTTTAAACTGTAATGTGTTCCTGTTTTTACTTTCTTCGACCTGTAGAGGGCAGCAGTGCTTGGGCATTTTGCCCATTTACAATTGAGCTTTATGAGGCCTGAAATAATGGCAAATATCTTCTTTGTGAAACACTTTGTGAATTTAAAAAGGTGAAACCTCATTAATTACACTTACTAATGTCAACGTCATTGCATTGAATAACAGGGACGTTTGTTTTCACACTTTCACCTGTGACTTTAGATGAAGGTGTAAAAGATTTTTACAAGGGGATTTCTCCTGTTTTTATTTTTGCGTGTCACCAAGCACTTTTCTCATCATTAAAGACACCAGCAATAGATCATCATCTAGTCCGCTTGACCTAGTCGATGATAAACCAGCATTGGAGGGCAGACATCTCTTGTTCTCATGGAAACTGGACCATAATGCTTTGCTTGCTCTGTGCAGTGGCTTCTTGGTAATAATCAGACTTGAATTACCTGCTATAATGTTTGCTCAACATATACAAGAATTGTTGTTGTTTTTTATTCCCAGAATTCACTTCTTTCTGTGGAATCAAACACCTTATTTGCAGCACTCACTCACCCACTCACAGCACAGATTTCATCTCCGGTGGGATTAGCTGTCACTAACGCAATATGCCCTGCAACAATGCTCTGCCAAGTGTCGGAAATCATTTCAATGCAATTAAAAATAGTGACAACAAAAACCTTGTATTCTAATCTGAAGTGGCAGTGATAGGTTTTGTTTGCTTGGTTTGGTTTTATTTAGTTTTTTGTTTGTTTGTTTTTTGCCTTTCTGTTTAGTTCAGGGTTTTTCATGTTTTTTTTTCATTTCGTTAGTTTTAATATTGGATTTGTGTTTAACTTCGTTTTATTTCATAGTCTAGTTTTGTTTCTTTAGCGTTTTTTTTTTAGCATTTTGTCATTTTAGTTTGTTGGTTAACAATTTTATTTCATGGTTTAGTTTTGTTTCTTTGTCATTTTTTTCTTGTTTTGGGTTTGGTTTCATGTTGCTGTTGTTTTTGTTCGGTACTGTTTTGAAGTTTTTTCTCTGTTTCATTTTGTTTGTTTGCCTTTTTGTTCAGTTTAGTTTGTTTAGTCTCGTTGTTTTGTGTTTTTAGTTTCTGTTGTTGTTCAGTTTTGTTTGTTTTTTTTGTTTGGTTTTAATGTTGGGTTTTTGTTTAACTTTGTTTTATTTGATGTTGGTTCATTTTTTTTGTTTGTATTTTGCAGATGTTATTTGGTTCTTCATAACAGTATAGTTTAAATGTTATTCATGCCCACACTAGCATTAGAATTACATTAATTGTGGGATCCAGGTAAGAAATCATCCTAAATAGCCTCATCCTTTAAATAATGTTTTATTATTATTATTATTATTATTATTATTATTCTACACTAATGGCTCTGTGGAAATTAATAACATAATTATTGTGGGCATGGAGTCAATCTGACAAACATTGGGTTGTTTGGTTCGGATCGGAAGGGCTGAGTCATGCGCTGGGAAAGTGGTGTGGAGAGATTCCAGATGACTACAGCTGGTCTTTGACATATATTAATGTAGACAGATGCCATGCTCACACACCAGAAACACTGCCTGATTCAGTTTCACAAGCAGATAAACTTTAGCTGGAAATAGAATTATCCAAGAGCCTTTAGTGGTGATTCTCTGGCTGCTTTTACCTACTAAATGTTTCATTTTAGTATTTTTTTGTTTGTTTAGTTTTTTTGTTTTGGTTTTTGTTTGTTTGTTTGTTTGTTGTTTCATGTTGGCTTTTTTTGCATAAAATCATGGGGGGAAACATTATCTAAGAGCATGTAGTATTTAACCTTTAGCCTTTAGATTTTCTGGCTGGTTTCTCCTTCTGAATAATAACATTTTGATTACATCTACAGCAGGGTTCCTCAAATCTTACCCTGGAGGTCCAATGTGCTGCAGAGTTTAGCTCCAACCCTGATCAAACTCAGCTACCTGTGATTTTCCAATGATCCTGAAGACATTGATTAGCATGCTCAGGTGTGTTTGATTAGGGTTAGAGCTAAACTCTGCAGGAAAGTGGATCTCGTGGGCCAGATTTGAGGATCCCTGATCTACAGTAACAAGCAATGCTATGGTATTACCATGTTCTTTGGACATTTGCCATTGTAATACCATACCTTTTAATTTAGTAGTGCCACAGTATTGTTTTAAGGTACTTTGGCCCACTATGTAAATCCTTTTGTGGTAAATTTGCAACAAAATATTAGCAATCATTTAGCTAAAATTAATTATTTGGTGATCCTTTCTCTAATGCAAATTTCCAGATCAGAAAACATTTAAAACAAATTAAAGATAAACTATCAATTAACTAAAAATTTGTCGACCGTACATTTTCTACCATACTTTTTTACTCCAATACAAGTTAGATCCATCAAGGTTTGTCGGGTCACTTTTTCCTTAACCTCGTCTTACAGAATTTTTCTTGCCATTTTCTCTGAAAAAGATCTGCAGGTTTCTAACCCCAGTTGAGATTGTGCTGATCCAGAGAATAGTGTGGCATTTTGTGAGAAAATTTCAGCGGCCCTTAAACACTGTTCCCACACGGCAGCCGAGTGTGGGCAGTTAACGCCTATTCTGAAATTCCAATAGTGAAGATCCAGCCAGAGGAGAGGGATTATTGGGGAAACTAGGGAAGTCATTTGGACGGGTATTAAAAAGCAGGCAAACGCATCCTCAGGAGGGGTTGCTGAATGGCCATCCTGACTTCTGCAAAGAAGTAGTATGCCAAGTAAAACAACTAAAGGCTGTGTAAACATGATACAATTACAGTGAAATGCACTGAATAGGTGGAGGTCACAGAAGACCATATAAACAGATGCTGGTTTATAAAAAATGGCGAATTTGTTATGCACACTGAGCTAGAATACAAGAAAAGTGAGTCACGCTCAGCGGTGTGTGAAAGGCGAATGGATCTACTGAGAATTGGACTGTGGATATTGTTTGAATTATTATTGAGCTGGAGACTCACTTTAGTCAAACTGCTCGTTGAGATGAGTTTTTATTACGTTTTGCTGTGGGTTGTGGTTGATGTTCAGACAACACCAAATTCAGGAAAAGGTTTCTGCAGAGTTGCTTTCCAGTTTGTTTCGAGCTATTCTGTGTTGTTGAATCATGTTGAATTTATGGCTTATTTTCTCATCTTGATTAATTGAGTCAGGATTTCCTCCAGTGTGGTGGGCGGAGTTGTGGGCGGGGCCATTTCTCATGGGCCTCATTTCTCAAATCTGAAGGGCCAAACATCAAAGCCTACAAATGATAATCACCACGCCTGATGTGTTTACTGCATTTCAAAGGGGCGATTGAGTTTATTATCTTCAATTATGTTGCTCTTGTCTAATGAGCCTTTTGTTTGTCAGATCTCAGAATTTCCATTGTTCCTTTCTCGGTTCTTTGTTCGTGAAGAAATGTCACATTATTCACGTTGCACGTAGAAGCTTTCATGTTGAGATAAAGCCTTTGAAATGTCAAAACCATGGCAGGTAAAGTGTCCTGATGTTTTTCAAGTGATTAATTCACTTTGTTAGTCTTAAGGGGGCTTTAGAGCTAACAACAACATTAATCTAGACATCTACATTTACTGAAAAAAGTTATATGTACTTAATAAGGCAAAAAATTGTTATTTAACTAAATATATGTGCTAGAACGTTGAAAAAATGTTGTAACATTTATTAACACATCCTGAAGTGTATATATGACCCTGGACCACAAAACCAGTCTTAAGTAGCTGGGGTATATTTGTAGCAATAACCAAAAATACATTGTATGGGTCAAAATTATAGATTTTTCTTTTATGCCAAAAATCATTAGGATATTAAGTAAAGATCATGTTCCATGAAGATATTTTGTCAATTTCCTAGCGTAAATATAGTCAAACATAATTTTTGATTAGTAATATGTATTGCCAAGAACTTCATTTGGACAACTTTAAAGGCAATTTTCTCCGTATTTAGATTTTTTTGCTCCCTCAGATTCCAGATTTTCAAATAGTTGTATTTCAGCCAAAGATTGCCCTATCCTAACAAACCATACATCAATGGAAAGCTTGTTTATTCAGCTTTCAGATGATGTATAAATCTCAATTTCGAAAAATTAACCCTTATGACTGGTTTTGTGGTCCTGGGTCACATAGGTGTGTGTGTGTATATACAGTTGTGCTCAAAATTATTCATACCCTTGGTAAATATAATCAAAGAAGGCTGTGAAAATAAATCCACACTGTTTATCAACTTGATCTTTCATTCAAAAATTGTAAAAAAAAATCCAACCTTTAATTAAAGTTTAAAAAAAAAAAAAATTCCTCTAATACAGGACGTGTGTCTATATCGTCCTAATGCACGGTGAGGAGGAGAGTTTGAGTGGCCAAAGACTCCAAGGATCACTGCTGGAGAACTTCAGAAAATAGTTTGGGAGGGTTTCAAGAAAAAAATAGAAAAGAAAACGCTCTCATCCAAAAACAAACTCCAGCATATTTATTTGCTAGACACGACTGGAACTTTAAACGGGACTGGGTTCAATGGTCAAATGAAACAAAAAAAAAAAGCTTTTTAGCAGCAAACACTCACGATGGGTTTGGTGAACACAGGGATAAAAAGTACCCTGTGTGTACAATGACATATACTGCTGGATCTTTAATGTTGTGGGCCTATTTTTCTGCGGAGATCCTGGATATCTTGTTCAGATAGATGGCGTAATGGATTCTATAAAATACCAATGGATAAAAAATTATCTGACTGTCCATGCTGGAAATCTTATAATGGGCCATGGTTGGATATTATCAAAGAAGGCTGTGAAAATAAATCCACACTGTTTATCAACTTGATCTTTCATTCAAAAATTGTAAAAAAAAATCCAACCTTTAATTAAAGTTTAAAAAAAAAAAAAATTCCTCTAATACAGGACGTGTGTCTATATCGTCCTAATGCACGGTGAGGAGGAGAGTTTGAGTGGCCAAAGA